TCCAACCTTTCTTGGAAAACTTCTCATATTTTAAGCACACTCTATTTATGGTGATAAGAGCCTTATTCTATTGTTTCCTTTGGTCATCACATTAAAGCTTATATAACTTGGGTACTATTATTATTATGTTAGGGATAMAAATCTCCTCTTCTCTATAGGCCAAACAGACATGCTGGTGGTCACTATTGGCACCACTCATCTGACTTTTCCAGCCTTGAATTGCTGAATATATTTTGTAATCTTTTTTTGTTTGTTTGTTTGCTTTTTTTTTTTTGGTACCAGAAATTGAACTCAGGAATGCTTAACCACTGAGCATCATATCCCCAGTCCTTTTCATCTTTTTAAATTTTGAGACAGGATCTTGTTAAGTTGCTTAAGACCTCATTAGTTTGCTGAATTTGACCTCAAACTTATGATCCTCCTGCCTCAGCCTCCCAAGTCACTGGGATTACAGGTGTGCACCACCAGATCTGGCTATATTTTATAATTTTGTGCACTTTCTTCTCCCCAAGAGTTTAGGGACTCTTTGGAGGCAGCAAGGGCTATGCTCATACTTAATAAACAGTGTATCCCCATTAGCCTGGAGTATGTGGCCATAACAATCAGCCTTACCTGCATGGGCTGACAGATGATGGTGAGAGGCGTCGTCTCCCCAAGTCCCTGGTCTTCATACTGCCGTCTGTCTAACACTCCATCACCAAATGGGAGTGAGTTTGACGATGATGTATTTAAGATTGAATAAGAACTGCAAAGTAAGATGAGGAGGATGTTAACTACTTTTGCCAGGAGTCATTAGCACTTTTCCTGAGGGTCCAATGGAAGTGGGAACTGGCACATCACACTCTCTGGGTAGGACAGTAGCTGGAAAAGATGAGCCCCGGGGTCCCCATCCCTGGGGAGATTTTCCTTTTTTCAAATACTGAAGTCTTGCAGTTAATAAATTAGGAGTAGATGGACTTCTGTATCCAGAACAGATGCATCCATCCTTCTGGGCAGGGATGGGGTCCAATGATTTTGTGCTTATTAGGATGCCACAGGCATGCTTGGCACCAAAGGCATGTTAAAGAATAATGAGTATCAACTATGCACCACTGTTTCCAGCTATTTTTCTAGTTCAAATGAAATAAACAATTCCCATTGCCCTTCATCTTTTCTATGGCAATTTCCATCTGAAGGAAAGAATGAGAGTTTAATTTTTTTTCTTTTTAATTTTAACCATCTTCACCACTTTGCCGGAGGCTCTTTAGGGTCAAAGAAACTTTCTGGCCATTATCCTCTATTCCACCCTCTTCAGTCTCCAACCCTATTCCCACCTCAATCAACAAGATGATTAAGGATAGAAGTATTTCAGAGGAGAACCATTCTCACCAGATGTTTAGAACTGTGGGCCAAGAACTCTCCTTTCTGCATGTACCACTGTAACTACAGAGGCCCCAAAGAGATCTTGCTAAAGGGAAGGCTGTCAAAACATGCAGCATTTAAATTATTGTTCATAGTAAGACTCCAAAAGCTTGAGCTAATAAACACTGTTATTTAAATACAGCTAGGCAAATCCAACAAACATCTCCCTCTGTGTCACTGGGGAGTGTTAAGGGGGAGCATTTAAATCAGATTTCTTGCATTTTTACSATGTGTGTGGCCATATATCCCTATGTGCCCATATAGAGTCCTGGTTAGTGCCTGTGGATCCAACAATCTGTCCAGTTTTGTACCTGTTCTGGGTTATTCATTTTTAATACAGCATTACTATTAGAATTTTATTTTTGAAAAGAATGTTAATATTCTTCAATATCACTAAGCTAACCAGATGTTACTTTTATTTTTCAAAAAAATCATAAGATTTAAATATTTGGGGACTCCTTTCRCTGTGAGAAGTGGCCCTTTTCAGACCATGAATGATAGATTCATTCTATTTCAAAGCAAAGGTCTCAGAAGCTCCAGGCCCTGAAGAAGTGATTTTTAGTCCTTGTGCCTATGAAAATCACCAGGGGACCTTGGAAAAATACTTCGGCCTGCATCCCACTCCTCACAGATTGTGATTCAACTCGGTGGGTGGGGTGGGAACCAGGAGTCTGGAGTTTAACAAAGTTGTATCAGTAAGACTAATGTGCAGTCAGAAGAATCCCATTATGGGGAAACTTAAGTAACTGTAGCTCAAGGATATCTTGTATCATTCACACAGTCTGATAGGCCAGCTGCTCTCCTGTATTTTAAACAGAGACCCTCCTGAACATTGTACAGTTGAATAAAATTCAGTTTCCATGTCTGGTTCATCAAAGCTTCAGGGCTTGAAATATCTGGCTCTCCGGAATCATGCTGACATCTCTCCTGTCCACGTCTCTAATTACTTTATTGCAGCTAGGAAGACACTGACGGTATCCCTTCTCTCTCCCAAGGACAGTGCCAGCCTTCTTCCCTTTTTAACCATCACTGGAATCAAAGGACTTGATTGACATGGGCGTGGGGCTGTCCGTTCTAAAAGGACAACAGTCAGATGCTTTATATTAATAACAGGGTAGACGGGACCAGGGCATGACAGTCGGTAACTCCTCTCAAGCACCAGGGAACTCTGGCTCCTCCCTGGAACACATTAGGCCTGCGGTAGGCTCAGAAGGGCCAGGCAGCTGGCCCACTGCAGAGACACCCTGGTGTTTCATCAACTGGAAAATCCCTAGGGGGACTCAGAACCAGGCAAGACAGTCCCATAACAGCAGTGAGAAAACATTTCCTTAGGAGGGACCCAGAGAACTGAGAAGCACTGGGTAGGGAGGGGTGAGAAAGACATTGATGCCAACTCCCTGATTGCTGCCTGGATCCCCGCTGCAGCTTCCCATCAACCAGCCAGGTCTTGCTGGAGCCTCCACCCTGTGGCTCCACCTCCTACAGTCTGTCCTTGGTTAGGAGCCAGGGAAGGTCTCTCTTAGAAGGGAGCTCTGTCTCCTTGAGTCATTTCCACCTCAGGAGTTAAATAGCAAAGAGAAGTTTGTGTCTGGAGGACTGCCTTTGTGGAAGAGGCATTTGATTTGATGAGTATGTTAAACCCAAGACAGAAGAAAAGAATAATCATAACTTCCATGGTTATTTTTATTCGGTGCTGATCTGTATAAAGTTAAGTGCCTTCTACTCTCCATAGCAACCCCAAGAGGTAAGTGCAATTATTATCCCCATGTTACAGGTGAGCAGACAGAGGCTCAGAGACGTAAAGTAACAGAGCCAAGGTCACAAAGTGGTAAGAGGGAGTCCAAGATTATTGGAATTAAACTYGAATTCTTAATTACAGTGTTCCCGTGCCTAACATTAGTATTTCTCCACTCTAGCAGGGTTGGCTGTGAATGATAATTGGTGATCTTCAGACACAGTTTCTAGGAAATCACATCATTAGTAATTTTCCAAAATAAAAGGAGACAATGACACATGGATGTTGGTATGACCCACTGCCTGAAGTCACTTGGGTTCACCTGGGCTTTGGCCTGAGCTCTAATGGGACAAAGACTGGGTTTGGATGCAAGGATCTTAAATAGGTTAGCAGATCTTCTCACACATACTCTTCTTCCACACATAGTCTTTCTGTTAGAAAAAGACCTGGGAACTGTGCTTCATCAAGCAAATAATCTCTCAGCTCTCAGTTTATTCCTCTATAAGGTCATGTGTCGCTTAACCATGGGGATGCATTCTGAGAACTGTGTCCTTGGGTGACTTGGTCTCTGTGCAGCATCACAGAATATATTTACACTAAGTAGCCTACAGTGTCACTAAGTTGTATAACTTTAGGTGACCAAGGTCATCTTTGCAGATTGTAATTGCCTAGAAGGTGATATGGTGCCTGACTCTATTTTACCTTACTTGTTTTTTTTTTAAATTTTTTAGTTATACATGGACGTAATATCTTTATCTTATTTGTTTATTTTTATGCAGTGCTGAGGATCAAACCTGGTCCCTCACATGTGCAAGYGCTCTGCCACTGAGCCACWACCCAAGCCCAACCTTACTTGTTTTTATAATGATGAGATGGTGACTCTGGAACCTCAACTCATATATTTTGATCTTCAGAAACATTTCTGGAAAAGCCAATGTTTGGGGAACATGAGGCAACTTTGACCTTCAAAGGCTGGATGTTCATGGGCTGGTGTGGAGGGACAGAATGTAAGGCACAGGAMGGAATTGCTGGGTGGGGGTTATTAAGGAAGATTATGTTCTTTTACATCTTTGGTTTTGTGGTTTGTTTGGAATCTGCCTGGCTACTTCAGGGAGACATACCAGTCTGAGTAATGACCCAGGACAAGGTCTCCCAAGGCAATGAAGACCTAGCACTTGGGGTAGTAAGAGAGATGGACCACTAGGCAGCCTGAAATCCATTGGCATCAAATGGGGCAGRAGAGTGAGCAGAGCAGGGTAGGGGACCTTCTTTTCTTTTTTCCCTCCAGGCAAAACACTTTTAGAAATCACCCTTTTCTCTGCCCCCGCCCCCCTTTTTAATGGCAGTAATAATAATGTTAGCCACCAGGCAGCTGGTGCTCAGGGCTTCTGCTTTTCAGCCATGTTGCCACACAGCAAAAACAAGACAGAGGAACAACAAACCAGCATGCACACGCTGGCTGGGTGCCCGGGCATGCCAGGGAAGGGCTCCCTTTGAGCTGTTTGGATTAAGAAAAAGAAGGTAACTTTTGTTCCTTTTTTTTTTTCCCCTCTATTAGGACAAAGCTGGCCATACCACACAGGCCATTCTGAACATGGGACCAGTATGGGGAGGGGCAGTAGTGACAGATGAGTAGAAATCATCCACCGTAAAGAAGAATGGGATGCGTGGGCAATGTACCCTTTTTCAGTTACCTGCTGTCTAGGCATGCAGGTGCCATGGCTGAGGACTTGCTCAGGGTCACCTAGCAAGTGAGGAGCTCAGTTAGGGCTCCAGATCCTTGAACCCCATTCTACTATTGGTCTGGCAGGCATAGTAGGAATCTGCCTGGTTACTGCAGGGAGACCTACCAGTCTGAGTAATGACCCAGGACAAGGTGTCCCAAGGCAATGAAGACCTAGCACTTGGGGTAGTAAGAGAGATGGACCACTAGGCAGCCTGAAATCCACTGGCACCAAATGGGGCAGGACAGTGAGCAGAGCAACCTGGTTCTCAATTTTCTCATGTCTAAAGTCAGCTCGTTTCCTGGAAGTATAGAACCAATGAGTCTTTTTCCCCATGGGCACCCTTTGCTCTCACTGCTACCCTAAGGCTCCAGGATCAAGTCCATTTCCCTGACACTTCCTAGAGCCTGCTGTTGCAATGTTCTTCAAGAAACAGCAGGCTAAGGTCCTAGAGTCTGCTTACCCGTGAAATATCCAGGTGCTGCATTCGTCAGCCTTCGTGATGTAGTTCTCCGGCAGGAGGCCAGAGCAGCCAGTGGTTAGGGAMGTGCCGTAGATCCAGCCCTCGCTGGTGCTGGTCTGCTCCATGGGAGACATGAAGATGAAGTCTCCAGGCACCAGTTCCAGCTCATCATCATTCTGTGGGGTGTAGGGGTAGATCACCTGTAATGTCTGAAAGAGGAAGAGAGGATGTGTGAGACCCATGTCCACCCACCAGTTGAGTGTCTGGAGGGCAAGCCTGAGCATTCTGTATAGAAAGCACACACCACCTGAGGACGGGATATGTCCAGGAGACCCTGGGCTCTGGYAGGCTCTGGATTCAGATTTGAAAGCACTTCATCAAAATGTTATGGGCATTTTGTGTTCCTGTATGGTTCCAGACTTTCCTCCAGGCAGGTCTTCACTTCTCATCAGAATTCAGGCATGGTTTCTGGAAATCTATSTAAAAGCTGGAAGGCTCTCCAGTCAACTACTGTGCAAATGCACTTGGACCCGGTTTYCCTGCTCCATCTGCTGTGGGATGAACTTCAGCTCATAGAAAGCATGACTTCCGCATGGGGGTCACAGAAGGGCTGGATGGGAACTGCTCCTATAGGAAGGGCTTGGGAGTGAAGGGTTCCCCAGTTCAGCTGTTTACACAAGACCTGGTTCCTGCCTTCAAGGAGCTTTCTTTAAATCTACAGTTTCAACAAAGACCCTGGAAAGAAACTATTCTTCATAGACATCCGCRTGCGGCTTGGCATGTTTTCATCATGGAGCACGTGTTCAGCTGGAGACCACGTGTTCCTTCTCTGAGCACCGAGAAGGCCTCCAGACCTAGCACAGGGCCATGCCACTTGGCCAGCTGACTCCACATTAGGGGCCTTCRTTTCCTGGTAATATTAACATCATAGGGATAGGCCTGAAGGTATTTTAGAAAAACATTACTGATTTTTAAAAATTAACAGCTGGAGACTTCAATAGTAAGAAAAACATCCTCTATCCTATTTGTTTCACAGGGGATGGCACGATGGCAAATGCTTTCTTATCTTCCCTCCGGCAGTCCTAACACTGCTGGTGATAGGCCACAAATTCTAGTTCTCATTTAACTCTGGTCTCGGTTTTCTCATCTATAAAATATTACCTAACTAAAAAAGTTAAATGAGACAATATTAACAAATGCCTTAGGATGGAGCCTTGTACACAGAAGGGGCCTAATTGTTTCTACTGAACTACGAGCCTGATCTTCCAAGTAATATCCTTCCTTGCAGTTGACTCTGGCCCCTGGGCCCTGACTGGTTAGGCCTGTGAGCTGATCGGCTCAGTGGTGTCAAGGTGAGCCACTGGAACAAGTGCTACAGAAGGATTTTTCTCCTGGAAATCTCCAGTAGAAAGAACCAGTAAGTGTGATTTATCTCAGAGGATGAAGTCAACAACGCATGGAACTTGTTTGTATCACTGTTTCTTTCCCTAAGTCTCATTCTAGTTCCTTTCCGGGCTAGATCTTSCATCTAGATTGCCTCCTTTCTCCTTCTCCTGCTCCCTCTGCATTGTATCTACTCAAAATGCTTTTCCAAACAAACCAGGGAGATTTCTGTTAGGCTTTTAATTTTTTTTTTTTTTTAAAGCCAGGCACAGAGGTGCACAGCCTGTAATCCCACTGACTCAGGAGGCTGAGGCAGGAGGATCTTAAGTCTGAGGCCAGACTCAGCAACTTAGTGAAATCCTATCTCAAAATCTCAAAATAAAAAATAAGAAAGCCTAGAGATGTAGTTCAGTGGTAAAGCACCCCTGGGTTCAATCCCTAGAACCGAATAAACAAAAAAAGGAATAAGAATTCACAAGAATTTCTTAAATCAAATCTCAAAATTGTATATGTGATGTGCCACAAAAAAGCAACATTCCTTTTCCTGGAACACGGTGAAAGGAAAGTCATGGTGAAACAAGTCTAAACTCAGCCTCTCCTATTCCAGTACAGCACAGGTGTGGCTGGCAAAGCTCAAAGTAGCTCAGAGAACTCCTCCTTTGTCCCATCAGAAAGAGGGATGAGTATTCTACTCTAGGATTTCCTCAGAAAAATCAAGGCACAGGAAAGGTTGGAGATAATATAGCGGAAACATATAGTAGCTTTGGTTTATGGAATGAACAACATAAGAATCAAGGTAGTGCAGCAGATCTGAAATTATAAGTGTGGAGGTAGGAGTGTAGCTCAGTGGTAGAATTCATGCTTAACAAGCTAGCCCCGCGTGCCATCTCCAGCACCACCACTACTTCCACCACCATCATCATCAAATTAAAAAATAAAATAATAACTGGGATCCATGACCACTGTCCTTTCCTACTTCCCTAAAGCAGATACAAAAACAGCCTAAACATGAGAGATATCAGGACACGTGCCTAGTTTGTACCATATTATACTAATGCTAATGTCTAGCATCTGCTTGTGAGAATTCTATGGTATGTTTTCCTTCCTTGCTACACTGAAACTAAACCCCAAGTCTGCTGACTGAAGGGCCATTACAGCTCCATGTGACAGTATCAACTGAAGGCATTGCTTTTGGAGTTTTTTTTTTTTTTTTTTTTTTTAGGAATAATAATAGCTGCAGCAGTTTTTTTGGTTGCTCCTGTCCTGTGTTAGGTATTGCCTTAGGATCTTTCCATACATCTTCTTATTCAGTTCTTGCAACATTTCAGCAAAACATCATCACCATTTTACTGATGAGAAAACCAAGGACTGGAGGGTTATGTAAGTTGTCAAAGTGAATCTAACCACTGCTGAAGTGAAGGAGCCAGGTTTGAAGCCAGGGATGGTAGGCTCTAAAATTAATGCATTTATAGGATCACGTCCTTCCTCTTGATTTCTATTGCTTGGCACACATAAGTTGTGTGGTCCAATGTCATCACTAATGAGGAAGAATCTGTGTGAAGTATAAATGGGCATTTGTAAGACCAAAATCAATTGAAAATCTAAAACAGCAGAGYGATGAGAACTTGCAGTTTTTCTGAAGCATCACTGTGCCTTGCCAAGTGTCCTTGCTAAATGGATCTCCTTCTTTAGACATCTGTTTGCTCACTGGAACCATCAGTCAAACCTGCCTCTTGGAGACAGAGTGAAGGAGAAGGAAGGCAAGAGCTTTGTATACGCAGAAAGGCACAGGTAGTCTGCAGGTAAAACCAAAAGATTTCAGAGGGAGGGTCTAGTCAAAGGAGACCAGGAGGGTTTAATCAGAAGGAAYAGTAATAAGTGAGCTTTTACAAATAAGAGATAAAAGAGGCCAAGTTATTTTTAGAAAAATAATTCATGTGGGCGCTTGCTGCCTCTTTCTTTTCATGCCAATTGGGTAGAATGTGGGTCAGGCAGAAAAGCAATTACCCTTTGAGTTAACTGGAGGGCAGTGTTGATTAGAGGATGTGCCTTGTAAAATTCCATTGCCACCTTCTCCTCTCAGGAAGGTGACTTCTCAGAGGCCATCACATACAACCCTTGACATTTTTTTTTTTTTTTTTGTCTTTGGGAAGTTTCCAATCAGCCACACCTTTCTCCTTATCTTTAGGGCCAATCTTAAGTGATCCCAGGAGATGCCAGAATTCTTAAAGAAGATCAGACCTAGTCTTCTTAATTCATCATTAYAGAAACTTGCATCAAATAATTAAAAAGGAGGTCATGACATTCCCATCAGTGAAGTCAGGCAGAGCTGCGAGTCCCTGACACTCATGGGCCACCACACCTCGCTCTGAAGTTTTGACGCTTGGACTGGCTCTTCCCAAAACTCCCAAAACAAGAAGGTTGCCTGGTTTCAACCATGACGTTCTGTTTTTCATGTAAAAAAAAAAAAAAAAAAAGCCTAAAAGAGATGTTAAAAGTCTATGTAAAGTCACAAAAATCTCAGTTCTTTTTGCTGTTGAAAATTGGGAGACACATGTAAACACTGTTTAATGAATATTAAATTGGAAAACAAACATTTTATCTAACTAGAGTAAGTTCTCCATTATCCATGGGGGATTATTTCCAACACCTACAGTGGATGCCTGAAATTTCAGATAGTACCAAACTCTATGTAAACTATGTTTTTTTCCTACACAAACATAGTGATGGTAAAGTTCACTTTATAGCTTAGAACAGTAAGAGATCAATACTTGTAACTAATCACAAAATAGAACAATTATAATGATATGCTATAAGCTGGGCATGGTGGCCTGCACCTGAACTTCTGCACCTTTGGAGGTTGAGGCCAAGGATTGCAAGAGGTCAGGTGTTTGAGACCAGCCTGGACAACATAGCAAGACCCTGTCACAGAAACTAAAACAAAACAAAACCAAATCCAATATGCTGTCATAAGAGTAATAKAAAATGTCTTGTTTAATTCTGGCATTTTCCATTTCATAACTTCAGATCTGCAATTGATCTCAGGTAAATGAAACCAAAGAAAGTGAAATGGTGGGTGAATGGGGGACTACTGTATGTAGTATCTTTTCTAGATGGGTTGCCCATTTTTATTGGTCAAAATTCCTGGGCTCTGAAGTCATCTCTGGTCCTCAATTGTTCCTTGGCTTTTAACCAGACATTTAATCTTTGYGTCATGTTCTCCTCCAGGAGATAAAGGACAATATGACTCTTCTAAGATGGCACAGGCCTAAGTGGAAAGCAATGCTGATCCCCTCAAAAGAGCAATACTAGGATCTGTCTGTCTGTCTACAACAGGAATCGGCCGTCCCATTTGTGCTGCCCATTGCCATGCACATGAATGCTCACACAACTGTCTTTTTTTTTTTTTTCATATTTGTCTGTCTTCTTTCCCCTGCTGAACTCAAAGCTCCTTGAGGGCAGAACCATTTTAAAAAGTCTAGCATGTTCCAGGGTACCTTGCATGCCACAGATATCTGCATACATCTGTTCATTTTGTCTTCTATCAAAATCAAGAATATATATATTATACTAAAAGCTTTCCCAACATTTTCTATCTCTTCTCTGTTTTACTTCTGTGTTCCTCCAATAAGTTTGGCAGAGCAGAAAGAACCTTGCGAATGTTACCTGGATGAACCACTTAGGACCTAGARGGGAGGGATGCATTCTCAAAGCCTCTCAGGGAGTCTGCAGAGCCTGGATAAAATCCTAGGACACCTGGCTCTTGGTCAGGTGCTTGCTTCTTGTTCCCCTTAGGCATCCCTCTCCTAAAGTGGCCAGGAGCAAGCACTCCTGGTTCTGATCACAACCCCGTTCCCAGTAGCGTCAGGAACCGCAGYGAGACATTACCTCATGGTTAGCAAATCGGATATCCCGAGAGAATATGGTAGCTACCCAGTCGCAACCTAGCTTGACATCAATGTTCTGGGCTAGTTTCTCCAGAGTGGGTAGGTGGCTCGCCTGGAAGTGGTAAGCCAGGGTCACGTGTAGCTGCTTCTTATGAGGTTCCACGTGTACTTCTGGAAAAATGAAGAAAATGGTCAGTGAGGAGAATGTGGTGATCCTAACAATGGTGGAGAATTAAGAAAGAGCATAGAAGAATACCCAGATAAATTCTTCCCAAATAACAGAGAGTCCCTTGGTGAAAAGAAAGATGTTTTTCTCCTTTCCTTCAAAACAGCAGAATAAAGGGGAAAGGGGTCACAGACCCTGAATAAACCCACTAATCAAGAGATAAGGAGCCACATATATGGCTTTTCTGTAGAAGATATGGATAGGCTGGCCTCTCCTCACAATTCCAGCTGATTATTACTAGCCTTGCCATTCTGATGAGGAAACAGATCTAAAAGGATCTTGTATCTTTACAAGTTATGTAAAGATATACAGCATGCTTTGTGACTCCCAATTGTATTGCCTTCACTTTGGGATCAAGTCTCTTAGCTTCTGAGTGAGACTTGTGGAGAATTGAGGGGAAAAGCAGGAGGACCCTTTAAAGTTTAATGCTGGGTTTCTCAACAGCATTTTGGGTGGAATAATTATTTGCCGTAGGGGGCTGCCCTGTGTATTATAGGGTATTGCATCTACCCACTAGATGCCAGCATCATCACCTGAGTTGGAACAACTGAAAATTACTCCACACTTGGCCAAGTGTCCCCTGGGGGCAAAATCAACCCTGGTTGAGGACAATTGATTTAAATTATGTCTCATTTTAAGACATTCTAAAAACAAAACAAACCGACCTATATGTGGGAATGGCTTTAATTTATCTTTTGTGCTTTAATTGAGGGAAAGTCATCTACTTTCTAAGTTTAATAATGAAGAAGATGCAACTGGAAGAAATTAGGGACTTGGAGAAATAAGGGGCTAGATCAAGTTGCACAGAGAATTAATGGCTAATGTACAACTAGAAGTTGGGTCTTTAGGTTTTATGTGCTTTTCCAGTTATACTACATGCCATTATTTCTTCTTCTCCTTCTCCTTCTCCTTCTCCTTCTCCTTCTCCTTCTCCTTCTCCTTCTTCTTCAGATTGAACCCCAGAGGCACTTAACCACTGAGCCACATACCCAGCTCTTTATAAAAAGCTTTCATTTACAGACAGGGTCTCCCTAAGTTGTTTAGGGCCTCATTAAGCTGCTGAGGCTGGCATTGAACTTATGATCAATGCCTCAGCCTCCTGAGGCACTGGGGTTACGGGCTTGCACTACTGGGCTCGGCCTGCATGGCATCTCTGTGGAGTAAACCCCACGGAGCAAGGTGTTTGCCTCTTGTCTACTCTGTATTTCCACTAGGTATACTATCCATGTTCTCAGTACCTGTTGATGAGCTTCCCTAAGCTACCCAGAGTGGAGAATGACCATCTGCTGGCTGAAAGAATCTGGGTGTGCCAACAACTCTAGAATGCCAAGTTGTGGGGCAAAGACATGATGACCTGCTTTCCACAGACAGGTATTAAAAAAATCAGGACCAGCAATGTATGAGTGTGCCTTTCCCCCCCACATCCTTGCCAACACTTATTGTTGTTAGTGTTCTTAATATGGAAAGCAGTATGGAGAACTGGGAATGGAACTTGGAATGGAACCACCATTTGACAATTATCTCACTCCTTGGTTTATACCCAGTATATTACAGGGACACAGCCACATCAATATTTATAGCAGCTCAATTCACAATAGCTAAACTGAGGAACCAACCTAGATACCCTTCAGTAGATGAATAGAGAAAGAAAATGTGGTATACATACACAATGGAATATTACTCAGCATTAAAAGAGAATAAAATCATGGTATTTGGAGGTAAATGGATGGAGCTGGAAAATATAATGCTAAATGAAGTAAGCCAATCCCAAAAAACCAAATGCCGAATGTTTTCTTTGATATAAGGAGGGTGATTCATAATGGGGATGGGTAGAGGCAGTGTGGGAGGAATAGATGAGCTTTAGCTAGGGCAAAGGGAAGGGAGGAGGCATGGGGGTAGGAAAGACGGAGGAAGGAGACAGACATCATTACCCTAAGTACATGTATGAAGACACAAATGGCGTGACTCTATTTTGTGTACAACCAGAGACATGAAAAACTGTGCTCTATTTGTGTAATATGAATTAAATTGCATTCTGCTGTCATATATAACAAATTAGAATTTTAAAAAAAAAGATGAGGACCAGCCACTTGGGGCAGGGCCAAGAATTTCCCCCAGTCAACACCAGGAGGCCTCACAAAGGCAGAGACATGAAGAGGGCCAAGTTCTTAGAGAATGACAGCAGATTCTTGGAGAGGGATTGGCGCTCCCCCATTCCCATGTGAAAAGTGAGGACCTTAACTATCTCTTATTCCACATGCACTCTAAGAATTTGCCACAGGCCTGGATGAAACTTGCTTTTCTGATTTGTGAAGGATCAAAGTTTTGTGGTACAACATTAGTTTAGGTTTTTGTGGGGATTTAGTGGTTCTGACAATAGCCACTGTGGGATAAAAAACGAAACAAACAAAACAAAACGCTGTTTTCTTGAGGTCAAGGGAAAAAAAAAACAACAGGATATAATTTGCTTCCCTGTTATGCTGTTTCTCTGAAATATCCAGCTTGTGTGAAATGTCAGGCATTAAGGCTAGAAATTCAAGACTGGTCCCTGGGAAGAAAGGCACGCCAGAGGGAGGGTGGGGTAGCCTAGGGTGGCTTGCTACCAAAGTATGGGGAGGTGCTGGGGATGGAACCCAGGGCCTCACTCATGCTAGCCATATGCCTTACCACTGAGCCCAGAGAAAGTGTCTTGAGGGCCTGGAGCTGCTTCTGATAGCAGAGATGTACTGAGTTCTTGCAGTGAGCCCTGACCACACTCTTCCCAGGGTCCAAGCCCTATCTGGGGCTTTTATGGTAAAGAGGAACACCAAGCAAGAGGGCCCAAGTTGGTGATGAAGATAAACAGCAAGCAACAGTGGCAGTGGGGCATTAGTGCAGGGTTGAGGCTGACACTTGGTGGCCTTGCTCAGGCCTTTTCCTCCCGGGTCCTCCATATGGGAGCTGGCAAGCTCTGGTGTCTCAGTTCTGCTTTCAACGTGCAGATTCAGCTGTGCTTCTCACACCTGTGTCACCCTTCTTCTTGCCAGCCCTCTGGCCACCTGTACCCTGGAGGGGCCCTTCCTTCATTTTCCTGATCAACATCTTCCCAGCTTCCTCTCTTCTCTGAAGATGGAACCATTTTTCTGCAGTGCCTCTTACTCTCCTCAATGCCTGGGTATCACACAGGGCCTGAATCAGGTTTCCTGACTGTGTCTCTGGCCAGGGAAAACCACTTTTTTTGTGGGGGTGGGGGAAGTACTGGGGATTGAACACAGTGCTTTATGCTGAGCTATATCCCCAGATGTTTTTAGAATTTCAAACAGGATCTCACTAAATTGTTTAGGGCCCTGCTAAGTTGCTGAGGCTGACCACAAACTTTTGATCCTCCTACCTCAATCTCCCAAGCCCCTGGAATCACAGGGATGTGCCACAGCTTTTGGCTAAGGAAAATCACTTCTTATTCACTTCTCTGTTGCATAAACACACGTGCCCAATAAATACCTGCTGACTGTGATTTTATTCTGGGGGAGTCAAGAGTCCCCTCGTCCTGCGGATTGTCTGTTCATCCCTCACTGCAAAAGGCTCTCATTAGCTAAGAGAGCCTTTCTGCACCTGCAGTCAGACAGAAGAACTTTGCAAACTTCTCTGTCTTGTCCATACACATCCTGAGCATCCCTGAAAGGTAATTCCTTTCACAGGAAATCAACTGACTTTAACTAAGAGCTTCCATGAAAAGAGCAGGAAGAGGTTACATTTTTTGGACAGAGTTTTAAGGCTCTTAGGAGCTCCTCTACTGGGTTTCACAACATTGAAGGGTATTGACTCAGTGGATTTTATTATGGTATACTATGTTTGGTTCCACTCCATGTCTTATGCTACAGTGTAAATGGTGAGATCCAGATAAACACCTGCAGGGGAGAGGAGTTTGGGAGCAAGAAACTTCTAAACTGGGATAGTTAGTAGTAGAGAGGGATAATTTATAGTTCAGTATTGAGTAGTCACTTGTGCACCTCCAACCTGGGTGTTTGAGAGTAAGTTTGGGCAGTGTCTCCAGGGGTAGCACAATAGAAATAGACATTTTTACAAGAGAGCAAAGGGGTGTGGGGTATGCTTTGCCATGTGTGCCCAGTTCTGCATGGCCCTCCCCTTCCTAATTCCATCCTGTTCCTCTATGAGTATCATGATTTGGATTTTAAATGCACCCCAAAGGCCATGTGTTGAAGGCTTGGTCTCCAGCTTTTGGGAAGTGGTGGAACCTTTAATAGGCAGAGCCTGGTAGGGGGTTTTAGATCAAGGACATGTTAAAGGACAGAGAGGAACCTGGTCCTTCTCTCCCTCTGCCTCCTGACCACCATTAGATGGACAACTTTACCACATGCTCCCTGCCATGATACTCTGTCTTGCCACAGGCCCCAAAGCAACAGAGCCAACCAACCATGGACTGCAACCTCTGAAATGATGAACCAAAATGAATCTTTTCTCCTTTTAAGTTGATTTCTCAGGTTTTTTTGTCACAGCAATGGAAACCTAATAATCACTTCCCATCCCTATCCTTCCCAACTCCAAATACCAGGGGCCAGGGCTGGGCTGGCAGTTGTGTGTGCTCACCGGTTTTGGAAGCAGCCTCTGCAGCAAAGTCGGCGGCAAACTTTTTGAGGACCTCTGCACTGTCTTCCTTCACAAAGAGGCCGATGAAGTTGGAGGAGGTATAGAGCTCCAGGGGTAAGGGAGCTGAGAACTTGCACTTCCAGCGACTGACGGTGGTCTGCAGGGCTTCCCCCAAGGCGTCTACCTTGCTGTCCTCACACTGGAAGGGGAAAACAAGCAGGCTTCACTCAGAGCCTAGGAGACAGAGAGGCTGCTGCCACTTATCGGTGGATATTTTCCCCCAGAGACCGGAGGCTGATAATGCAATTAACCATACTCCTTTTTGTATGGCCGAAGAAGAACATCAGGCTCCCAATTATCTGGACACAGATCATCCAACTGAGAAAATTGAGCTGGGGAACGTGTGACCGGTTTCCTCCTTCCCTTGCTCTGCAGTGGACACTCTCAATTCCACCAAAATGCAGCAGGACTGGTCAAGCAGAAAGCAAAAACAAGGATCAGGATTGGAGAAGTGTTGGTCAAAGGACACTAAATTTCGTTTGGATGTAAGGAATAAAATCAAGAGAGCTTTTGTACAGCATTGTGACCGTGGTTAATAACAATGTAGTATATACTCAAAAATTGTAAGAGAGTAGACTTGGGGGCTGGGTGTAGCTCAGTGATAGAGCACTCGGCTGGCATGGTTTTGATTCCCAGCAACACAAGGAAAAAAAGAAAAAAAAAAAAGACATAGAGAGTAGATTTTAAGTATTTCACCACAAATAAATGGAGTATGTGAGGTAACACATACATTAATTAGCTTGATTTAACTATTCCACAATGTACACATATATTAAACCATGAATATATACAACTTTTATTTGTCAATTAAAAAGAAAGTTTTCTGTTGGGTGTAGTGGCATACTCCTGTAATCCCAGAGGCTTGGGAGGCTGAGGTGGGAGGATCACAAGTTCAAGGCCAGCCTCAGCAACTTGGCAAGGCCCTAAGCAACTTAGTTGAGACCCTGTCCCAACATAAAAAATAAACTGGGCTGGGGATGTGGCTCAGTGGTTAAGTGCCCCTGGGTTCAATCCCCAGTACCAAAATTAAATAGATAAATAAATAGGGCTGGGGATTCAGAGGTAGAGACCCCCTAGGTTTAATCCCTGGTTATCTGGTACAAAACAAAACAAAATAAAACAAAACATTTTTCTTTGCTCAAAACCAAAAACCAAAACAAACAAACAAAACTAAAACCAAACCAAAACAACAACAAAAAGCCCAGGAGAAACATCATGGGAGAGAGTATAGCATCCCAGGATAATTTGTGTATTTTGTACTCTTTTGTATCATCTGTACCTTTTCAATTCCTTTTAGATGATCAAAGTAGTCTCTCCCTCCACCCCCACGGTAGTTGAGAAGAGCGAGGCTCTGAGAGCTGTGACATCATCCTCCTACCCTCTTCAGAGCATTGGAAGGAAGAATGAGTGTCTCTTCAACTCTGAATGTTTTCAAGAAAGATCCTGAGATGACTAAGAGGAAGCGATAATCACTTTAATTTTCAGAGTAAATGGTAAAAGGGAAGGTGTTAGGAACATGTTTTTTTTTTTTTTTTTTTTTACCTAAGAGAGTGAGAATATTTGGAAGAAACAAAGGAAAATATATTTTTTAAAAATTGTCTTAAAGTGCTCCTGTTCTGGGCTGGGGTTCGGTTCAGAGGTAGAGCGCTCGCATGAGTGAGGCACTGGGTTCAATCCTCAGTACCACATAAAAATAAAATAAAGTATTGTGTCCACCTATAACTAAAAAATAAATATATATTTTTAAAAAAGTGCTCCTGTTATGCTTTGTCTTGAATATATGTGGATAAATTAACTATTCTTTCTCCATTGCCATGGAAAACCAAAGTAGATACACATACTTAATGTATCATAGTGATGGGGATTTAATGTATCATTAAATAAGCTTTCTGATAGGATTATGGATTAGGTAAGCTGGCAGGTGAAAGCCATCTTTGATTTCTCTAGAAAGATGTAGTGAGAAAACCCCATGGACAGTGCCCACGAGGCCGAAATACATTTTCCGGTCTGTGGACGACACTTCTTGTTCCCTGCTCTGTTTCCTTGTCAGAGGAGGTAGAGGGTTGACAAGGAGCAAGAATGAAACAGTATCAGTGGCTCTGTTCCAGCTGCCAGGCCAGTGTGTCACCCACAGAGGGTCAGGCTTGTTCCTAGGGTCTTGAGGAGCCACTCCAAACCCGGGGTGCTCCTGGGCCTCAGCAGACATAAGGGAAGAGAGGCGGGCCCTGCTGACCCCTGGGAGCTCCACCCAGCCCAGGAGCCCAGGACCATTTCCAATCTTCCTGAGCAGCTCCCACTTTTTCTCTGGGTCCCCAGGGGCTGGCTGGGAAACTGGGAGCCAGGCTCCCCTGGAGAGGAGGGGCAGCTCACCATAAAGAACTGGCAGAGAGTGATGTGGGGGAAGATGTTGTGTGCCTTGTTCTTCCCACAGATCTGCTTCGACTGCTGCCAGAAGTCAGAAAGCTTCTGCGCTAAGGGACCGGTGGGGCGGAGGTAGAGGACGTACTCCCGGGGCAGGGGGTCATCCAGGAAGGGGTCACCGACGTGGGAGAACAACCTGGAAGAGAGAAGAGAGCCAAGGAGGCCTCAGTGGAGAATAATGGAAGGGAAGAAAGAGCCGAGACAGATTCCCCCCTCCACAAGCTCCGCTCCCTGGGCACTGCATGGAGAAGGGTTTTCATTTGTGCTGTAAGAAAACTCCTCTCGAATCTCACTAACCAACTCTCAGATGCATCAACTTCTGCTCTCCTGCTTGTCATCCCACAACTCCCTTAAAAAGCCCTAAAGCTGCTCTCCAGGAAGCTTTCTCCCATTAACTCCAAATCCTTCCCCATCCACCAGTACCATTCCAACACATCCTGTCCCTTAGTCTCTGATTGAGCCCACAGTGACTCCCAGGAGCAAGGAAGCTCCCAGGAGGGTCACTTTCTAGGGTCTTCCCGGGTAGTGATATCCTGAAGGTAAGAATATTTTTCAATATTGATTTGCCCAGCATTGCATCTACACACCAAAAGTGAATCTTGTTTTTTTTTTTTTTWWWWAAATATATATTTTTAGTTGCAGATGAACACACAGCATCTTTATTTATTTTTATGTGGTGCTGATGATCGAACCTGGTGCCTCACACATGTGAGGCAAATGCTTTACCACTGAGCTACAGCCCCAGCTCCCAAAAGTGAATGTTTAAGTGGCTGGAGGAGAGCAGATATTGTGAGAGGGTCTATCCTGGAAAGACTTTGAATGTCTTTAACCAGTCCAAGGAGAATCACACTCTGAGGCCAGGGTAGCGGAGGCAATTGACTTGATAAGTGGGCTTGTCTCACAGCCTTCTGGTTCATTCCCCCTGGAAGGGTCTTTTGGAGAAAGCCTGCATGTCCCCACTCATCCACACACACTCAGAGTTAATTATATGCTATTTTCTCAATTTATTTATTTCATACCAACCAGTCACATGCTGCTTGAACACTTCTTCCTCCCGTGGATGCCAAGGCTTTTTGTCTGGAAGAAGAAATCAAATATCTATTGTTAGTATTTTTAGCAACCTCTCAGCTTTCCTCAGCACAGAGACAAGAGCAGATGAAGGAGGCCACATCAAAGCCCACGTCCCACTCCATCCTCAGTGGTGCRCAGCAGACACCTGCAGCAGGTTTTCCCCAAGGGTCACATCAAGGCACATGGAAGTTAGGACTTGTCACTGATTTCCATGTAATTAGCATTGGATTTGCATGCTGCCTGACACCCAAGCAGTCTATTTTCAGCAGTCTCCACATTAGAGTTTTATTTTTGCTTCCTAAAAGTTGTCATGTCTTGTTTTTTTCCTCCTCCCTTTTCACCCACTCATTTTTTACTGACCCAGATCCCCTACAGAGCACATTCTTGTTTGCAGCCCATTGGCAGAAGGGGGTTAGAAGGTTATGCAAACATCAGGCAATACCAGGCCTGGTGGCCCACGCCTCTAATGCCAGCTACTTGGGAGGCTGAGGYAGGAGGATCACAGGTTTGAGAGCAGCCTTAGCAACTCAGTGAGACCTTGTCTTATAATTAAAAAAAATTTTTTTTTTAAAAAAGGGCAGGGGATATAGCTCTGTAGGATTAATCCCAGGGGAGCTGGGATTGATCCCTAGTATGGGGGTGGGGTAGAGTAGCGACGTGGGGCTAAATGCCCACCAAGAAAACTGGGTTTGGAGAGTCATTACCTCCTTTCACCCCTCTCCCACCACCAAGAGCCTGATCCATCTCCTCTAACTATTTTACAGACATTTTTGGAAAGAGCGGCACTGGGAAAGGGCATGGACAGAGCCATGCTGATATTCCCCCATTGGGAGGAAGAACCGAAAGCCTCACCACTGGTGGGTCAGTATTCACAGGATGGTTGTAACAGTGAGCACTTGTGCACAAGCTTATAAGTAGAGTCTTCTGAAATTTTAGACACATCCACAGGAGTCAGGTATTGGGGTTGGGGTTCAGATAGTGGGRTTCAGATCCAGCTTTGCTCTCCCTCCATCCTTTCATTCATGCATACATTCATACTTGTATTTACTCACTATCTAAGAGCATCAACTGTTTTTGTTGGGACATTATTGGGCACTGGGATTACAATAAGGAACAGTGTGGTCTCTACCCTCATGAAGATTTCAGTTGAGTATGGTTGAGACATTCTTTGTATGGTGAATTGTTTAATCACTCAGGTGGTAAATGCAATGGAGGGGAAGCACAGAGAGCCATGGGGAGTTCTTGCCTCATCTCTGGTTGAGGAAGGTGGCTTTGAAGAAGTAGCATTTGAAATGAGACCTGAAGGATGTAGACTCATCTGAGTGGGGGGTGGGTGGGATTGCTTGCTGGTTGTGATGGTGGAAGACACCTCGTACCTCTACCCTATGGTGAGATGGAAAGTCGAAACAAGATAGTGGATGAGGAGCCTTAGAGTGACCATGCACCGTACGTGAGCAATAAACATCATTCTTTCCCCTTTACACTGTACTGACTGATCCAGGATCCTCGGGAGGGAGACAGCAGGGAGTGACTCCAAATTAAACGGACACTCCTTCTGAGCCTCCCTTTCCCAGTTGGCTCCAGAACTCAATCAATCCTCCTTCCTTTTCATACCTCTCTATGGAGCAATTAGAATGATGGAGGCTGTGATAACCTCCGGGTCAGGTGGGAAGTGACCTCAGAGATCATCTATGAGTCCAACTTCTTTATTCTACACAAGGGAAAACTCAGGTGGAAAGAAGTGAAGAAACGTGCTGTAAAGCAGCCTGGTTAAGAGGCAGCTGGGTGAAGGCCAGGCTCCGCTGCTCCGCTCCACATCTGAAAATCATTCAAAGACCTTCCTTTTCCCCGTGGAAATCTGAGCAAATACGCAGAGATCAGGATAAAGACATCTGCACAGTCAGTTAGAACAGCATCGTGAAAGACAAGCCTACTCACAATAAGATGAAGATATGCAAAAGCAAGACAGATCCTGGGGTCCCCTTGAAACAGCAGCACAGTGACCCACACTCACCCCCCAGCCTTGACAAGGTGCTTCATTGCAGCCGAGCTGTGCCAGACAGAGGCCAGGGACCTCGCTTCTGTCAATAGGGAAGCCACGTACCCACAGAGGCGGACCAACCTTGATCTGTTGGAGGTTAGAATCTCTGAGGGATTAAACTCACTGGAAAAAAAGGACCCATTGTTTAAAAAACAATTGGGAAAAGCCAAACTCATTTGTGGCACAATGTGCTATTTATATAAACTACCCAATTTCTTTTTTCCTACACCCTTCCCTCAATGAAATACATCTGACTGAAATTTAATTTATTTCTTTTGAGGAACTAGGAGAATCCTCTTGAAATGAAAGATCTAATTAAGTTATGATCTTTGTAACTCAAAAGACATGTTTTGGACAGGATTCAAAGAAAAAAAAATTGAGAWAATTAAAGGTTTAGGTGTGATAAGGCCCTGTGATAAAAGGTTAAGGAAATCCAAATTATTTCTAAAGAAGACAAGTCTGAAAGGACCTTAATTTTGTGGAGGGTTATCTTATCTGACGCACCCATTCTAGTAAGGATCAGCCAAAATAAAGTCAGTGCTGGCTACAGGACAAAGGGTTCAAGTTAGCTACCAGAAAGAACTTTCTGAAAGTAATATGCTTGAATGTTTCTGTGTGTGTGTGTGTGTGTGTGTGTGTGTGTGTGTGTGTATGTTTAAATTTCTAGAAAGTAGTTATCGATCTGAAATAGAGGAGTGAAATTTCCTAGACAGGATGCAGCGAGGGTAAAGTTTTCTTTTCTCTCAAGCCCCAGGTAGATTCTATGGCCTCTTCACCCACTACTGGGTTGGCAATGATTTGGGTTGAGTTTGTTCCCAGAACTCTGCCCACAGAACAGCCCAACACGGGAATCAGTAGCACAAGTCTCCTCCTCTTCACCCAGCTGAAGAGACTGTTGCCATAGAGCGCCAGCTCCACGGCCATCCACTGGGGCCATGCTGGGAGAAGTGGGAGTGTGTGGGGTGGACCCCGAACCCCAGGCCGAGCCAGAACATCTGCTACTCTCTGGGTGACTCAGAAGTTGGCTGAGGATTCATTTCAGAGACTTTTTGAGACCTTAAGCAAATAAAAGACTCTCTCTGTCTCTCTCTTTTAGTACTGTGCATTGAACCCAGGGGCGTTCAACCACTGAGCCCCATTCCTAGCCCATTTTTTATTTTTTATTTTGGGATGGGATTTCTTCTTCCCATCTCAAAATAAAATATCTTGCTAGTTGCTCAGGGACTCTTGAGCTTTAGATAGGGCAAATATCAAATATAGATATAGATAGGGCAAAATCAAATATCTTGCTAGTTGCTCAGGGACTCTCTAGGTGCTGAGACTGGCTTTGAACTTGCGGTCCTTTAGCCTCATCCTCCCAAACCACTGGGATTTCAGTCATACACCACCACGCCTGGCTCTCCCCAGTACTTTTTTATTTATTTAYTTTTTTTGAGACAGGGTCTTGGTAAATTGCCAGGCAACTTAATTGCAAAACTTGCAATTCTTCTGCCTCTGACTCTCTAGTCACTAGGATTAAAGGCATATGTCACTGTATCTGGCTAGACGGACATCTCTTTAAACTGAGATACCAGTAGCTCTCCTATCGGATTACAGCAAGGGATTATAGTAATGAACAATTTCAATGGGATCTTCTTGGTTAAAATCAGTGAGCCGTGTGAATCATGGAAGTTCTATCACCTACAAACACAAATTTGACTTCGGATCCTGGTCCTAACTTTCTCAGTTATGTCTAGGGTTCATTTACAGCAGATTGTGAAAAAAATAATGCAAATTCTCATGTCAGCACAAATAAGACAAAAACAATGGCTAGTCAAGAAATCAGGGAAGTAACTGTCAGGAAATTGGCCAAAAGGGGAGGAACCAGTGGCATCCATAGATGGCCTTGTTGGCTGGGATTCCTCCCACTATGATCTCTCAGCTCCAGTGCTCTTAGGTCAGGAGGTAGGTCTGGTCCCAGGGTCACAGAGATACTCTTGTGCCTTTGAACACAGCCTGAAAAGGACAGATCCCTTTCTCCTGAGTTTGCCCAAGGTAAATAGCATCCCTTCCTCCAATCCTTCTCCTTCCCCCCACCTCTCTCCCTTCCTCTATTTTTTCTTTCCTTCTCTTTTTCCTTCTCCCCCCCCCCCATCCTTTTATCATTTACTCTTAAGAAACTCTTGCCAGAAACCAAATGAAAACCTAAAACCAAACCATGAGTGTGTTGAGGGTTGTACTCTGACTGGTTGGCACCCTTCAGGGACAAGAGCCACTGGTTCATTGGTTGAGTCAGGCTGGTGCTACTTCCAGGTCCAGCAGATTCTCCTACTCTGCTGGAACTACAGATATTGAGCTTGACAGGAATCACCTGTTTAACTCTCTCGTAGGATGAGTCCCTCTGAGCCACGCTAGTTCTCTGGTATCCACTATGGCTCTGGCCCTCCTGTTGTTTGAGTTCCTGTCTGTTGGACACCAGCCAGGCCCTGGGTTGTCATATGGTGCAGAAAGAGGAGAGCCTGGGTCTTGCTCATAGAGAGTTCACATGGAGGAAGAAAGACACAGAGCAGGTTCTTATAATGCAGTATGTGAAGGGCARGACAGTGGCATGGAGTACCAAGAAAGCTTAGGCTAAGGGCTCTAGCTCCATGGTAAAGAGTTTCTAGGTCTGAAGTTCTTATATTTTATCCAGAGCTACCTAGACCCAGTTACTAAGGCAAAGACAAAGAGTTGCTTTCGCATCTTTTCAATTTTTTTTTTTTGGGAACTGGGGATTGAGCCCAGGGACTTTCAACCACAGAGACACATCCCCAGCCCCGCCCACCTTTTTAAAGTATTTATTTAGAGACAGGATGTCACTGARTTGTTTAGGGCCTCACTGGTTTGCTTTAAACTTGTGATCCTCCTGCCTCAGCCTTCGAAGCTGTTGGGATTATAAGTGTGTGCCACCGTGCCTTGCAGATCATTTTAATTTTTGAGGTAACAG